TCAATGCATCTCTATGGGAAAAGTTCAGCGTCTCAATGCAGAACCTGGAGCCACTGAACGTCAGTACTGCACACTGTCCCAAAAGAAGCACCTTCAGTGGCCATCACACTCACTGACACACACACACTCAATAACAGACACACACAAACTAACACACAACTAACACACTCAGTAACAGATACACTCACACAGTAACACACACACACACTCACTGGAGTGGCCACTGGAGATGTCTCTAAGGAGCAATGCAGTGGCATCCACACAATCCATGGCGGGGGGCACCTGGTCACAGCGACCGCGGTACGTACGCCAGTGCATGCAGATACACATACACTTAAAGGACCACTATAGGCACTCAGATCACTTCAGCTCAATGGAGTGGTCTGGGTGCCAGGTCCCTCTAGTTTTAACCCTGCAGCTGAAAACATAGCAGTTTCAGAGAAACTGCTATGTTTCACTGAGGGTTAATCCAGCTTCTAGTAGCTGTCTCACGGACAGCCGCTAGAGGCGCTTCCGCAATTCTCACTGTGAAAATCACAGTGAGAAGATGCTGGACGTCCATATGAAAGCATTGAGTAATGCTTTCCTAGGGGTGGTATGAATGCGTGCGCGGCTCTTGACGTGCATGCGCATTCGGAGCTGAGAGGCGGTTCGGGGCAGAGAGATCCCCAGCGCCAAGGGAACCCGGCGCTGGAGAAAGGTAAGTGCTGGGGGGGGGGGGTTTAACCACACACACTCTCACGAACAGATGCATACACACTAGCTTACAGACACACACATTTACTGACAGAAACACACTCAGTGACAGATATACATACACACTCACTGACAGACAGATACACATACACATACACACTCACTTACAAAATATACACTCTCACTGACAAACACACACTCACTAACAGACACCAAACAGACTCACTAACAGACACACACTAACAGACACAAACACACAAACTAACACACTCAGTAACAGACACACACAGTAACACACTCACTCACACACACACACTCACTGACACACACACTCAATAACAGACACACACAAACTAACACACAACTAACACACTCAGTAACAGACACACTCACACAGTAACACACACACACACTCACTGATACACAAAAACTAACACACTCACTAGCAGGCACACACTAACAGACACACACAAACTAACACACTCAGTAACAGACACACACACAGTAACACACTCACTGACACACACATACTAACACACATAGACGCTCACATTTTTTTTTTAAATTTAATCCCCCAGCCTTCATACCTTTGGGAGTGCTGAGGGGATTCAAGATTTCCCTGGGGTCCAGTGGTGCTGCTAGCACTCTCGCCGCTTACTGATGCCGGATTCAGAGTGATGTCATATTCCGGCTCCGGCATCACTGCGGTGCACGCGAGAGAGCTGGGCAGAGAGAGCTCAGGGGAGAATGCTCCCTCACACGCCTGCGCACTTAGTGACACCACTTCCAGCCTCGGTGGGCCTGAGGTGGCCAGCTCCTGGGCCCCCCAGGAGAAGAGGCTGGCAAAATGTGGCCGCACTGGCTTACATACCCGGGTCGCAGGGCAGCCGGGTCCCCTGGTGGGCCGGGCCTGGTCGCAGCTTCGACCCCTGCGACCGTGGTATGTACGCCAGTGGAGCAATGTAAAAACTATTTAAACACTGCCTTTGCTCTTTACAGCAAAAAGGCTGCAAGGACGAACTATACTCCCCAGTAATAAGTAACAATAAGCTGTAGTTGTTCTGGTAACTATAGTGTCCCTTTAATAATAAAGGTTTGTGCATTCCCTGACAAAATCCTCTCCCAAGTCCTTCATCCTCACTTTATTGTTATTATTTTTATTAAGTTTGCACACTGCCCCTGCCATAGCCCCACCTTGGATCCCTATAAGTGTCTCTCTTGGCTGTGAGACGGGCTGTGTGGCAGAGACAGGGATCAGTCTGTGGAGCCTGTGATGATGCTGCTGAAACTCCTGTAGCTACTGTACAATCGTGGGGTGAAGGGGAGGACTTGCAGCTCACGAGTGGCATCAAAGTGGCATCAAAGTGCTGCCTGGAGCCATGGCTCATGCACGGGCCGGCTCTGACTGCAAGCACTATAACTACTATAGTTCGGTATGGAAATGAGGGAGCAGCAGATATTCTTGAATCCAGGAGATGGTCTGTGGGTATATGGAGAGAAAAGAACCAAGAGAAATCAATATATTATAGTATCTGCTGACAGATGGTGAAAAGAGTATGAAAGCACACAATTTTCAGGTGCTATAGATCAGCTCCAGATGGTAGCACCTGGGCGGTGCAATCCATGCCTATGGATGTGGTGCTCACTGTTGCAGACTTGTAGGCACAAAATAAAACAGGAAATAGTGCTCACTGGAATAGAATCAAACTTAAAAATAAATAAAATAAGAGTTTCTCACAAAAGGGGAGCAAAAAGGTTTTTTTTTGCTCAATCCCAATCGCATAGGTGGTATAATCCCCACGAAGGATATAGCTGGAGTTTTCCTCTTGATAAAATCTTCTTAAAAATCTTATAGGAGGGTCCAGAATGGTGTTAAAAGACATTAAAGCGGCACTGTCATGGCCGAATCCAGTTTTTTTTTAACCCCCCCCCCTCCTGACTCCACTACATCTAATTGACCCCCTAGTCCCCCCCAAATGCCCCTAAGCCCCCATCTAACATATTTTTTAATCTTTATTTTCTGCCCGGACCTAGGTACTGGGCACCAGCATCTTTGTGTGGGTAGATGATGTCTCTGTGGGACACGTCACCTGCCCACACTAGATAGCACTGTGAAATTCCTGCGCATTGTCCCCACTGTGATTTTCACAGTGAGAAGCACGCAAGCGCCTCTAGCGGCTGTCAATGAGACAGCCACTAGAGGCTTTAGAGGCTGGATTAACCCATTTATAACCCATTTATAAACATAGCAGTTTCTCTGAAACTGCTATGTTTATAAAAAAAAAAGGGTTAATCCTAGAGAGACCTGGCACCCAGACCACTTCATTAAGCTGAAGTGGTCTGGGTGCCTAGAGTGGTCCTTTAAGTGTGATCATCGCACTATTAAGAGATTTGTGGCTGATTCAGAGCACAGACGGGTTCGTGCAGATAAAGGCACATTGAGGAAGATTTCTGCCAGATACATGCATCGGATCAAGAGAGCAGCTGCTAAAATACCATTACATAGCAGCAAACAGATATTTGCAGCTGCTGGTGCCTCTGGAGTCCCACAGACATCAAGGTGTAGAGTCCTCCAGAGTCTTGCAACTGTCCATAAATCTTCTATTCGGGCACCACTAACTAATGCTCACAAGCAGAAACGGCTGCATTTGGCAGAAAAATACATGAAGACTAATTTTCAAACAGTCCTGTTTACTGATGAGTGCCGTGCAACCCTGGATGGTTCAGATGGATGGAGTAATAGATGGTTAGTGGACGGCCACCTTGTTCCAACAAGGCTGTGACGTCAGCAAGGCAGTGGTGGAGTCATATTTTGGGCCGGAATCATGGGAAGAGAGCTGGTTGGCCCCTTTAGGGTCCCCAAAGGTGACCTCTGCAAAGTATGTGGAGTTTCTGACTGACCACTTTCTTCCTTGGTACAGAAGGAAGAATTATGCTTTCCATAATAAAATCATCTTCATGCATGACAATGCACCATCTCATGCTGCAAAGAATACCTCTGCATCAATGGCTGCTATGGGGATATAAGGAGAGAAAGTCATGGTGTGGCCTCCATCCTCCCCTGAACTCAATCCTATTGAGAACCTTTTGAGCATCCACAAGCAAAAGATCTATGAGGGTGAGAGGCAGTCTACATCCTAACAGCAGCTTTGGGAGGCTATTCTGACATCTTGCAAAAAAATTCAAGCAGAAACTGTCTAAAAACTCACAAGTCCAATGAATGCAAGACTTATGAAGCTGCTATCAAATAAGGGGTCCTATGTTAAAATGTAACGTGACCTGTTAAAATGTTTAAAAAGTTAAAATGTTGTTATACGTTTGATTGAAATAGCTTTTGATTTCAGTAAATATGCTGCAAACACCACAAATGACAATGTTCAGTTCTTTACAACCTATAAAGTGTTTTGAAACTTACTGTGCGTAATAATTTGGAACAGTACATTGTAAGTTTTTTATGTTTAAAAAAAATACTGTTATCATTAGGAGGTTTGTTCAATAAAATTTGAATTGTACTCTTAATAGTTGATAACATGAGAATTATTTACATGATGGGGTATCTATTAACTAGCGGGGGGGACATAGTGTGGGTGGGGGCCCTAAATGAACATGTACGGGGGGCACCAATTGTCCCCACCCTGGCCCCCACTCCTGAGCGGCGGGTGGAGGCCCTAAATTACAATAAGGGGGTCCTATTGTCCTCCCCCCGGCCCTCATCCATGAGTGGCGGATGGGGGCCCTAAATAACATTGGATGGGACCTATTGTTCCCCCACCGGCTCCCACCTATGGGCAACGCGTTGGGGCTGTAAATGACAATGAGGAGGATGACCTATTGTCCTCCCCCCGGCCCCCATTCATGGGTGGCGGGTGGGGGCTAAATGTAAACCTCTCCCCAGGTGACTACCCCCCTCACCCTAAAAATAGTGAGGTGGGGACAATAAAAGTTTAATAAAACAAACTTACCATATGCAATATTCATATAAATAAAACAAGACCACACAATAACCACAGACAACATTTAATTACTTTTCAATGGGCTTGGCCATTGGGTTTTTATTTAAAGCTCAAGGGGCATATAATCATAACTTTGCAACCATAACCATATAACAAATGGTTCACAAACTTTAAAAACTTTTAACTTTATTAACCACCAAATAGCCAGTCAGTCATAACTAACCTGACTAGGTTTTACTTAAAACTTTCAACTTTATTAACCACCATATTGCCAGTTAGTCATAACTAACCTGACCGCCTTTTTAAAAAAAACATTTACCACCATATCCTTCCTCAGAACTGAACCTGAGGATGGCTTTTGCCCCAATGCTTCATAACACCAAGACACTACAATTAAATAGAAATAAAGGGAGGGGTCCGGGGTCCGTCCGCACCGTTCCTGCTTCAGTCCACTTTGGCAGGATTAAACTTGTGCTGCTTCTTTTTATACTGTTCCAGTTTCCCACTCCTTATCTGCTTGCAACTTTCAACCAATCCCATGCCAGCTCCATCCCTCAGAAACAGCTGTGTCATCAATTCTGCCCAGATACCTGTCTAACTGACCAACTACTACAAGATGTAAAATTCCTCACATTCAAATCCTAGACAAAACAGATTAACTCCTTCATTGCCACCATACATATATGCCACAGTGCTTAGCCCCAGAAAAAGGCTAAATAAAAATCCATAATACCCGTCGAACTTTGAAAATAAAATAAAAAACCTGAGTGCAAAAAAAAAAATATGACGAAAAAAAAAAATCCCGATGGTAAAACAATAATTCATCTTCACCCATCGAGGGCACGGTGCAGACTGAGCTCCACACCCTGCAATTTAGCTCAGAGCACTCTGATTGGTTGATTTCAAACCAACCAATCAGAGTGCTCTGACTGGTAAATGAAGAGACTGACAGGTAAGTGTCAGGAATGGGATGGGATCCAACATGCAGAATGTAGATAAAAGGTAACGTATACCGGACCTTAGAATGGCCGGACTACTATATAGGAACAAGGAGTAGTCAAATTCAAGCCGAGGTCAAAGAGTACAGAAATCAGGATAAACGAGTTTAAGGTCAAGGAGTATAGAATGAAGAGTAGTCACAAACGGAGCAAAGGTCAAAAGATGGATAACAGAATGCAGAACAAGCACTATAGGAAACAAAATTGAACCACAACAGGGCAAAGAACCTAGCCCTGTGAGTCCTTTTTATACTGTGGCTTGTTAGGAAGGTAGCCACGCCCCCAAAATGTTCAAATCTGGACGTTTTGGTGGAACGTGACATCATTTGCGTCATGACGTCGACACCCCCTTGCCGCGTCATAAAGGGGGGCTTGGCTATCGCGGCCGGCGTGAAAACGGCTGGAGAAAGAAGAGGAAAGCTGGAGAGGACCTACTTCCTCATGTAAGAGGTGAATACCATGGGGGACATCCCTGGTCACCATAGTAGGGACCCTGACAGTACCCCCTCCCTTAGAACCGCCCATGGCGGAAGAACTCCATGACGAGACCGATAACGGGAATGGAAAGAACGGAGAAGACGAAGAGCAGAGATATCAGAACAGTCAACCCAAGACCTGTCTCCAGGACCAAAGCCCTTCCAATCAACCAAATATTGCAATTTGCCACGAGAAAAATGTGAATCACGAAGACATCGAATCTCGTATTCCTCTCTTCCCTCTACTTGCACAGATGAATGGGGCAACAATAGGATGGGTAAACCTATTACAGATGAAAGGCTTCAATAAAGAGACATGAAACACCCTGGGAATACATAAGGTTGAGGGTAAATCAAGACGATAACTAACTGGGTTAACACAGGCCACCACCTTATAGGGACCAATAAACCTAAGTGCCAGTTTCATAGAAGGTACCTTAAGGCGGATATGTTTTGTGCTCAGCCAGACCTTATCACTCGGTTGAAATACAGGAGCAGCGCGTCTATGCATATCAGCATATTTTTTATCTAGGTTGGATTTGAGAGGAGATGTTGAGCTCGCTCTCATGTCTTCTATAGGTTTTCTAGGTGTTCATCAACCATTGGCATTCCCTGTGATAAAAACGTAGATGGGAGAACAACAGGAAGAAAACCATAATTTAAGAAGAAAGGGCTATGTCGAGTAGCATCGGAAACTAAACTGTGTGCAAACTCAGCCCAAGGAAGCAAGCCACCCGAGTCATCCTGATGCACAGTTACAAAACATCTTAGGTATTGTTCGACCTTTTGATTAGTGCGTTCTGCTGTTCCGTTAGTTTGGGGATGATAGGCTAGAGAAAAACTGAGAGTTATACCCAATTGTTTACAGAAAGCCCTCCAAACTTTGGAGATAAACTGTGAACCCCTGTCTGATATAATTTCTCTAGGTATTCCATGGATTCTGAATATTTCCCTGGCAAAGATCTTCGTCAATTCTGGGGAAGTCGGTTACTTTACCAGAGGTACGAAATGCGCCATTTTGGTGAACCTGTCAATGATAGTCAAGATAACGGTTTACTTTTTGGAATTAGGTACGTCGACAATGAAGTCCATGGCTATACTAAACCAGGTTTGGTTAGGAATTTCCAAGAGTTGAAGCAAACCACATGGAAGGGTAGTAGACAGTTTGGTTTTCACACATACAGTACAAGCCTTAACATAATCTCTGCTATCTTTTTTCAATGAAGGCCACCAGAATTCTTTGGCAATTAGGGAATACGTCTTGCGAATACCTGGATGACCTGCGGTTATACTGTCATGAAAGTGGACAAGTATCTCATTCTGGTATTCAGGAGGAACATATAGACGTCCTTCTGGAACAACTCTAGGCGTCTAAGTCTGTTTAGTAACAATATCCATCACCAGAGGAAACTGTATCTTGATACTAGTGTTAGCTATAATATTCTGTTTGGGTACCAAAGAAGACACATCACACGTGAAATTGACAAGAGGTTCATATTGACAAGATAACACATCGGCCTTTGAACCTGGTCTATATGTCAATACAAAATTACATTGTGTTTAAAAAAGGGACCATCGGGCTTGCCTAGCAGAATGGCGTTTGGCTTCTCCAATATAGGATAGGTTTTTATGATCCGTTAAAATAGTCACTGGAAGAACTGTACCTTCTAATGGGTGACGCCATTCTTTTAAGGCTAGAATTATGGCAAGGAGTTCTATGTGTCCTATATTATAACGTCTTTCTGCCTCTGATGATTTTCCTGTAAGGGTGTAGAGGTAGATAAGGACTTGGTCGTTGTGACAACACAGCTCCCACACCAGTCTCTGATGCATCTACCTCTAACAAAAAAAGGGAGACTAGGATTAGGATGTACTAAAACACGGGCAGATGCAAAAGAAGTTTTGAGAGTCTCAAAAGCGTTTAACGCATTATAATCCCCTTTTTTTTTTGGATTTTCTTTAGAAAAAATCAGTATGTCATCTAGGTACATTATGACACAATAGGTCCCTTCCTCCTTATTGTAATTTAGGACCCCCATCTGCCGCTCAGGAGTGGGTGCCGGGGGGGAAGAAAATAGGTTCCTTACTGTAATATAGGGCCCCCACCCGCCATTAATGGGTGGTGGCCGGGAGGAGGAAAAAAGGTCCCTTATTGTACTATACCATGGCTCCCCGCTCATGGGTGGGGGCCAGAGGGAGGAAAATAGGTCTCCCCCATATTGTAATTTAGGGCCCCCACCTGCCACTCAGTGTGGGAGCCAGGGGGAGGACAATAGGCCCCCCATTTTCATTCAGGGCCCCCACCTGCCGCTCAGGGGTGGGGGATGGGGGGAGGACAATAGGTCCTAACTCAGGAGTGGGTGCCGGGGGGGAGGAAAATAGGTCCCCCTCTTATTGTAGCATAGGGCCCCCACCTGCTGCTCAGGGGTGGGAGACGGGGGCAAGAACAATAGGTTCTCCCTATTTTCATTTAGGGCCCCCAACCACCGCTCATGGGTGGGGTTCAGGGGGTAATTTAGGGCCTCCACCTTGGGTTGCCTACTTTTGTAAAAGGTATGCCATAATGGGGATAATTCTCACTCCTGGACTACCATACGAAGGGCCGTCTTTAATATTGATTGGGCCCTGGGCAGGCACTTGCTTGGGCCCCCTGGACCCACTCCCTGGCATGCAATCACGCCTCAACCTCAACGCAGTGGCGGAACTAAAGTAGAAAGAGCCCTGGTGCAATAATTTCATTGGGACCCCCAATTGCGTGGTTGGAAAGAAGGTAGAACCCTATCAGTCGTGCAACTCCAACAATGCATTGACAGCTGGGGCTCTACCAATTTCCCATGCTTGCAGGGTTGTATTTAGCACCATGTTTGTGTGTTTGAATGGAAATGTTTTTGTATGGAGTACATGGACAGGCAGTCCCCCTGCAGGTACTGATCTGGATGGCTATTCCGTCCATGTGATGGCGAACCTCACCGCAATCACATGGCCCTGGAGGGCCGGATCAGCAGCAGAGGGACTCCCTAGCAGGGGAGGGCTGGCAGCCTTAGGCCTGGGGGGCAAAACCAGTCAAGTGGCCCATTGCATCACCAAATCAGCTCACCATCCATGCCCAACTTTTCCTGGTTTTATAACGGATATTGATGTTATGCTAATCAGTAGCTCTTTGCCATACCCACTCCTTCACGGCTCTGACTTTCAATGTTGTCAGAGCGCAGGCCGAGAATCTCTGAACCTGTGCTCTGACTCACTAACTGAGCGCCGGAACCACGAGGGAGAGGATATAATCTGACTGCACCTACTGCTTGTGCGTACCAGTGGACCACCAGCGAATCATTTAAATTGAATATGCTGGTGTCCCCAAATTGTGAGCTGTGTTGGCCGCCGGGCGCCGATGTTGTCATGGCACCTTGTGTGACCGGACAACGTGCACACCCCAATGGCTGGCCCTGCTGACAAACACTGATGTTACTACTTAGACATCCCTCAATATTAATACAGACATCAGAGTAAACACCAATAAACTGTGGAAACAGAGCTGATCCCCCCAAATTTATAAAGATTTGCTTTTTGGATTTGTTGTAAGATTAAATCATGCCTCCTTCTCTCTCTCTCCCATGTGCTGCTCTGTAGGCTGGGAGGAAGTGAAGAGTAATCACATTCTCCCAGCACAGCGCCACCTGTGGCTGTATGGGGAACAGCTGGTTAATGTAATGCTTGAAGGACGGCCAGCTGCCGCAGAACCTCTTTGTTCCTGTCTCTGCAAAGGGCTCCAGGCACTGCTTGCTGTGAGTGTGAGCCACTGTAAATTAGGGGCAGAGGGCACTTGCACTGCGGTAAAGACGGGTCTGGGCAGGAGGAGAGTGCAGTGCAATCAGTGCACTCCCCTCCTTTGTGTCACCAGTAGACTGGTGCACCTGTCCAGGATCAGAGCCGGTGCAAGGATTTTTGCCACCCTAGGCAAAAGAAAAATTTGCCGCCCCCCCATGTGACATCACAATGCCCCACTCATATGACCTGCCATATGAACTAACGCCAGTGCTGCACACACATTGTGTGTTTAGATTAAAAAGCCTGCAGTGACTGGCTATAGACACCAGAACCACTTCATTAAGCTTAAGTGGTTCTGGGGACTATAGTGTCCCTTTAATGTGAGGTAAATTATAGATTAGTGTCACTAATAATATACTAGATTGCCTACATACAACCAGATGAGAATGAGGATGGGCTGCAGTTTGGCTCCACTGGTCTGGTGCAGAACAGGATGTTTGGAGGCTGTTTGCAACTGTGGTCACAAAATTCAATGTTCTGGGAGAATTGGAAGCAGCTCCAAGTCCCAGGGCCTGACAGTGAGTATGCCCATAAGGCCCACTCATAAGTCCACTTATATGTTCCACCCACCCATGGGTTCGCTCACAGGGAGTGGAGTGTGTAGGGGATGTGTTATGTGTTATTGTAGAGGATCTGATATGTGTGCTTATGGTATGTAGTGTATAGGGATACCAGTTTGTGTAGGTGATGCAGTGTGTTTGTGTGTAGTGGAAGCAGTGTGTATTTGTGTATAAGGGATGTATTATGTGTCTCTGGTTGTGTGTAAGGGATGCATTGTGTGAATCTGTGTTTGTATGCATAAGGGATACAAGGTGTGTGTCTGTATGTGTATGCATTGAGTGTGTGTAAGAGATGCATTGTGTTGCTGTGTGTATGTAAGAAAAGCAGTGTGTGTGTTTGCATGTGTGTGTAAGGGTTTGCATTGTGTGTTTCTGTGTATGTGTGAAAAGGATGCATTGTCTGTGTGTAAGGGTTGCATTGTGTGTGTGTGTAATGGATGCATTGTGTGTTTCTCTGTGTGTAAGGGAAGCATGTTGTGTTTCTGTGTGTGTAAGCATGCATTGTGTGTTTCTGTGTATTTATAGGGATGCATTGTGTGTGTGCGTGTGTGTGTGTGTGCGCGTAGTGTGAAAGAGCTCCCTGTCTTGCCTCCTGTCCTATAGAGCTGTCCCTTCTGTCCCTTAGAGCTCTCCCCTGCCCCTTAGTGGTCTCTCCTTGCCCCCACCCTCCCTGTGTTCTTCTCACGCCCCCACCCCCTCCATGTGTTCTCCTCACCCCCACCTATGTTCTTCTCACCTCCCCCCTCCCTGTTCTTTTCACTCCCCCACTCCATGTGTTCTCCTCACTTCCCCCCTTGTGTTCCTCCCTCACTCCCTCACCTGTGTTCTTCTCTCACCCTCCATGTGTTCTTCCTCTCACCCCCTGTGTTCTTCTCACTGCCCCACCTGTGTTCTTCTCACCTCCCCTCCCTGTGTTCTCCCTCCCCCTCCCTGTGTTCTCACCTCCCTGTTTTCTCCTCATCTCCCCTTCTCCTCACCTCCCCTCCCTGTGTTCGTCTTACCCCCTCTCCTCCCTGTGTCCTCCTCACCTCCCCCCTCCCTGTGTTCTTCTTACCCCCTCTCCTCCCTGTGTTCTCCTCACCACCCACCCTCCCTGTATTCTTCTCAGTCCCCCCGTTCTCCTCATCTCCCCTTCTCCTCACCCTTACTCTACCCCCTCATCCTTGTGTTCTTCTTACTTACCTCCCCCTCCTCCCTGTGTTCTTCTTCTTTACCCCCTCTCCCCTTACTCCCCCCTGTTCTTCTTACCCCCCCTTGTTCTTACTCCCCCTTCTTCTTCTTACCCCCACCTGTTCTTCTTACCCCCACCTGTTCTTCTTGCTCCCCCTTCTTCTTCTTGCCCCTTCTTCTTTTTACTCCCCCCTTTTTCTTACCCCCCCTTCTTCTGCCCCCCCACCTCCCCTTCCCTGTAGCGTGGCCGAGCACCTCTCCGGTCCGCGGTACCCGGCCGGAGTGATAGGAAGGTGTGCACTTCCTGTCAGTCCAGCCGGGTACAGGAAACAGAAACTCTGCGTGGTACAGGACCGGAGAGGAGCTCGGCCATGCTACAGGGAAGGGGAGGGGAGGTGAGGAGAGTAGCAGCACTGCAGCTGTCTGAAGCTCTTTACAGAGTGCTCAGGCGGCTGCAGCATTAGGATCGGCCCTGCAGCGGCCGGTTTTAAAATGATTTAGGGCAATTGCCTCCCTGCCCCCCGGCCCAGCTCGCCCCTGCTCCCTAGGATGCCAGGCAAGTCCTCCCATGGCAATCACTGGCGAGCAGGCAAGTCCATAGGACGGTGGGGACATACTATGCCGCCCGCCAGCATTTAGGACCGTGTCCCCAAGGATGGCATAGTACGCCCGCCATCCTTAAGGGGTTAAATTAAAAAAAAAACTATAAAAATATAGAAACATACCATGCTTAGTACGTAATGCATAAAATACAATTAAAAGTAAACAAGATGGATGCCTCCCGTTTATGTCATTATATAGGAGTAGTACAAAATCATATTTTATCACAGAACAGCTAGTAGATCTAAGATAGGGAATAGGGGAGTGTAATAGATATTAAAAACAAACATATATTAGTGGAGTATAGTGCACTGGATGGGTGCACCAAAATGGTGTCTGGGAGCTCCTGGAAACTGTAAGTGTGTTTTTATACTCCTTTTACCAACTGTCAGATGATACTACACTATATTGTTTTCTCTTGGTTCTTTTCTCTCCACATGTCCACTGACCATCACCTGGATTCGAGACTATCTGCAAGGCACTGCTCCCTTATTTCCATAACGAACTGTACTTTTTACCAGAAGGAAGAGTTGTTTTAGTTGCCTACTAATCTCATTAGAAATCATTTATTTGTTTTATTGACCATAATTACAACAGCTTGCTGTAGTGTTTTTTTATGTTAATAGAGCCCTGGTGCCCTCCTAGGGTAAGTAGTCAAACTGTTTAAAAAGGGTTTGACAACTTACTTGGGGTATGTCAGGTGCAACCTTCGAGGCACCCTAGAAACTCCCTCATTGGAACCAAGTCTGAGGTGCTCATAAGTGGAGAGTGATGAGCTGATGTACTTAGCCAATAAGCTAGTCCAGTTCATAAACTTTAGGCTACTTGAGACTCAGCAACTGGTGCCCAGTGGACCATAAGTTCTCTTTAAACTGTTCATAAATGTTTTGACTACTTATGCTTGAAGGGTACCAGGGCAATTCTGAAACAGTTATCACTATATAACGCTCACAGATACTAGATACAAATTAAATAAAACATTTATTTTTAAAATCAGAGAATGCTAGTGACATACTAGATATGCTGCAGAAAAAAAAAGTTCTCGGATTCCTGATCATTTTCCATGAGTGTTTCATACACAATATGACAAGTCAAACCAAACTATGTAGCAAGACTCACGCTTAGAATCTGTCCAGATATATACGTCTCCCAACATTGAGGAGTATGAGACAGAAATGGGAAAAGGGACAGTCAAGTGACTCACAGAAGTGACATGTCAGCATACAGCTTGGTGTCAAGCATGCAAGACTAACAGTCTGGCTGGCCCCCCAACATACAGGACCATGAAGGTAGCGCTGCTGAAGCAGTAGTCTAAGTGCCTGTTCAAAACACAAGCACATCTAATGATCTGCTCACACTGTGCTGCCCAAGAACAGTTCATCAGAGAACAAAATCAGGACAGGACTCCAAACTCAAGTCTAGGCACTCAGAATTGCGGCAGGAAGGCAGGTTTATTGGAACAAAAAGTGCAATGTTTCAGCCTACACAGAAGCCTTTATCAAGCTTAAAATACAATTAGAAGAAGAAAAAAAAACGCATCAAGCTTGATAAATGCCTCTGCGAAGGCCGAAACGTTAAATTCATTGTTCCAATAAACCTGCCTTCTTGACATAATCCTGGGTGCCTGGACCTAATTTATTTTATCTACTAAACTGGGTTTTGCCAGCCCTGGCCCTGATAAGCACCTGGATTCCTAAGTGTGAGTGCGGTATCCTCTGTTTGTGAATTCCAAATTCAGGTGTGTCACAACGAAATCAGAACTGTTGGGAGACCGGAACTAAAGAAAAACTATGTAAACTCATTAAAACATCCAAAACATGTAGCAGTAGTGATTTTATATTTAAAGATACTCGGGGTAGGTACCCACTTCTGGGGTTTGACCTGGTCATATTTCTGTAAAAAACCCTGCCGGATACTACTTCAGTGTCCAAAAAGCCTATGGCTCAATCTTGGTTGCACATTTGGTGAGATATTGAAAACCCGATGTGAGAGATGAATGCTTTTCTTATTGCGCAATTGGCAGTGTTCACAACTTCAGTACCATGACCAGAACAGTCAAGTTTGACCTTGACATATGTTCAACTATGTACTGCATTAAAAAAAAACACAAACCTAATTTTTTTGTTGCTTCTATTCAATGTATTGGGACTGCTGCATACTATAATGCCGCCCCCTAGAAGTTGGGGTTTAAGCACATGGCTTAGTTTTGTATGTTTGTACTTGCTTTTGTGCTACACAGCCATGTTACAGTGCTGCAGTCCACCCCATGTGTATCCTATTACGGGTTAATAAGTGTATAGGGTGTCTAGAAAAATATCACGCTGACTCATTAGAGCAGGGTGCCCAAAAGGTAGACACTGATGTTTTAAAACTACAGCTTCTATGATGCCTTGTCATGCTAAAGTTGTAGTTCAACATCTGGGTATTTACCTTTTTGGCACCCCTGAATTAGAGATTCTGCATTTTAGCTCAAAGTAGCAAAGTGCATTGTTAGTTTAATGTTGAGGCTGATCAGTGAATATGCTGTTGATAACCATATATATTGACTTGGGCTGTGTGGCATACAGGTTTTAATCTAGTTTAAAAGAACATTCTAAAGTTAAAAACAAACATTTGTAAACTTAATAAGGTTCCTAACTGTACTTATATTACTGCCTGATCCCTTTATTTAAAATAAATGTCACAAACTTACCATTTGCAGCAGCCACTCCACTTAGGATAATGTCATTAGTACTGATGACTTTTGTCTAAGCCAATGCTTCGAATATATGAGCAACAATCTCGCAGAGCAGTCTGCTAAACAGACCTTCGAAAATCTAAGTTTGTCATTGAGGAATTGCCTCTAGTCGCAGTCAGTCTAACACAGGGGTAGGCAACCTACGGCACTAATGCCATGCACGGCACTCAAGGCTGCTAGAGCCAAACAGGCACTGGCCTGTCAGGAGTCCCAGTGAAACTTCAGATATCTGCTAATACGAAAAGATGGTTGTGAACAATCCTCAATTTATGCATTGCAGCACATAGAGTAAGTGATCTCAGATCACTTCATCCCAGCACTTGTGAATGGGAATCCACACAGTAGTAGTGCAGCCTGCAGCTGCTGTTGCAGCTCCTGTCCTTTACCTGTACCTGGCCAGCCTGGTCCCCACTGGAACCCAGGGAAGCCACCCACACTGCAACATATACACAGAGCTGCAGAATAACCCTCCCCTCATACAAATAATATAAACAGCCCACACACAAACACACACACAGTCTGCACAAACATAACACCACCAACAATCCACATACATGCACACAACCCCACATGCAGCCTCTCACATGCAATACCCCAAACAGCCCCCACACATACACACACTACCAAACACACAATGTGACATATCCATACACACACACACAATTCCACAAGCAGCCCCATACACAGCCCACATTCATATGTATAATTTACAATATAATAGCTCATATACACACAAATACAACAATACAAAGCAATTACAGTATAAATAACAAGCAGAATACGGCAGCATACACACCTCAATTGAAAAAAACAGGACCGACACGCTGCGGGACATCACAATCCTACATCGGCACAGTGCCGCTAAAACCCCTGGTCTAGCAGCTACAAGAAGAGTGGTGAAGGCAAAATGTAAACATTTTACATTACCATACAAAAGAGGTAGAATCTATGCACCAAAATCACTTCATGAATATGAAGTGCTTTGATGCTTAGAATATCCCTTCAAGGAAATATGCTTGGATGCTAGTAGTTTAATAGCTAGCATATTAATGGTTTGTGTCAACATTTACATTTTTTTTCAAGTTTTCTTAAAAGACAATGAAAGACTTTTTTTTTTTTTTAAAGCAGTTTAGAGAATCTTTCTCCACTTTATTTAGTGCTCACAGCAAAGCATCCGCAAATGCAGATTTCCTCAGTGTAAAAACACTTCACATGCACATGTAATACAAATATTTGTATGACCATATGAGGGGCATGGAATTAGGACTGATCTTTCTGGACATATAAAGAAAGCAATTTAAAAAGAAGAAGGTGCAGGATAAGGTACTTACATCATAACACTACAATAGTCTATTGTGGTTGTAGTTCCTGGATAGTCTCTTAATTGTTGCACAAAGTGTGCACACAATTTCTGGAACAAACATTGTATAGCTAGAATATTAGGTGATGCCATTACTTCCTTTATCTTTATTTCTTGGGTTGTTCCCATGTACACTTTTCATTATTTTCAACACCAGTTCCACATTGTCTAACACTTATCATATAGTTATACCTGTACCAAATCCTTACAAACTTCTGATGCGTTCAGCAAATGTTAAAGGAACACTATAGGGTCAGGAACACAAACATGTATTCCTGACCCTATAGCGTTGAACTCACCATTTAGGTGGTTCCCCCCGCCCTTTAGCCTCCCTATAAAAGTTTAAAACCGTATCTACAGCGCCACACGGGTCTGCCGGTGCTGGCTCCGCCCCCTTTGTGACATCAAAATGGCCGATGTTTAGCCAATCCAATGCTTTTCTATGAGGAAAATTCAGCGTCTCCATGCAGAGCAAGGGGACGCTGAACGTCAGTGCTGCTTTTTTGGCAGCACTGACTCAGGAAGCACCTCCAAAGGAGTGGCCACTTGGAGATGTCCCTAGAGGCAATGTAAATTGTCTTTTCTCTGAAAAGTCAGTGTTTGCATGAAAAAAGCCTGAAGGGAACTATTATACTCACCAGCACAACTACATTAAGCGGTAGTTGTTCTGGTGACTATAGTGTCCCTTTAAATTTACATTTGTGACTTTGCCTAAAATCAGTAATTATCTGCAAATTCTTTACTAAAATTAAAACTTTTTTTCCTTTAGTATTCCATTAACATACACTTATTTGAAAACAAAGCTTCCTTTTATTTAATTAAGGTTATAAAGTGATAAAATGTTTAGATTAAAAAGACTTTTACATAGCAACCTGAATAAGAAGTCTGGGAAGGTCAGCCAAAGGATTCTTGGTTCTAACAGGTTGTGTCACTCAACCTCCTAAAGTCTCTTGAACTCGTTCACTCCCAGTTTAAAAACAAAAAGGTGTATGTATGGATGTTTAAGAATTCCACAAGTATGCAAGGTGTGTCTAACTTGCAGTTATATATACACTAAGATATTGTGTGCAACAACTCATTCATTTCACAGGCTACACATTTTTAGACATGGTTTATTTGCATCTGAGGAAATAAAATGCATAATGCAGATCCCTTTTTAAGTTATGATTAAAAATAATTTTGCATGCCTGATTTTTAGAAAGCGAAAGAGGAAGAAATACTTTTTATTTGAAATGCAATAATTTAAATAACACATTTTAATAGATGACATAACAGTTCATTTAAACATATAAGCAATTTGGGGAAAAAAATAATAATTATTTGTAGACAAAAAGTAACAAGATGTGAAAAAGACAATGTATTCCCAATTTTTGGCATCCAGAAGTATTTAGGTCAACATGTCCCAAAGGCAGCAGCAACAAAGAGCAGTCCAGCAAGCTGTCAGACATGCACTTTCTCCAGAGTCATCCCTTCTTCGTTCTTCAACAACATACACTTAAAACATAAACAAAAACTGTGTGTCAATTCACAAGTCAAATATTACATAATATCAATTTTGTTGAACAATTATTTGGTTGAGCGTTCCGTATGGTAAATATGCTATGCATCCAATGAGCCCATAATAAATCTGTAAGCAGCAAAAATGGAAATGCTGCAAAAAGAATAAATCTATACAGATAGGAGGAATTATAATCAATAAACTTTGCCAGAGGATACAGGAATGTGTTAACATGTGTGACTAGGCTTAGACAACAATGGAACATGTTTTCAGTCATTATCAAACATTGCAAAAGAAAGCCAATAGAAGTAAGATAGCACAAGTCTACACCGATGGTTAATCACATGCTCAGGTGCTTCATTGGCTCCCACACACATTTAACAGTTATCATCATCAGTTTGTTTTAAGTAGGTGCAAAGTTCTGCAATGCCCCAGATCATCATAGCAACACAAATTGGACCTGGAGCCAATAATGCAGCTTTCTGATTGTCAGCAATACAATAGTCTCCCACTGCCAAGAAATACAGTTTCAGAGCTAATAGTACACATAGGCAGGCTGTCACTTTTACAGGGTCAGATACTCAGACAGCATTTTTTATTTTAATACATCAAGAAGTTTCTTCTAAGCTGCCATGTGCTGCTCAGACTCTGTTAAGACCAATACCTGGGTTTTTTGTTTCTGTCCCTTTGCCTGCATCTAACTAAAAATATGTTCCCTACCTGTCTTGTAGAAAGGAGGAGAAAGTCATGATGCTGAAACAAGGGGCAATAGATGCAGTGGTTAGAAACCCCACCCACTGTTCTTATGTGGCTACAGCCTTCCCTAATCCTTAAGAAGACATAATACAGAAAATCTTCATAGCTGCAGCTATTCAGACTATTAGACTCTCAGGAAGTGTAGTCCCTTAAAACACACAGAACCAAAGTTTAGCAATCAATTATTTTTTTAAACTTATTTTATTTTCTATCAAGCTCCATTAGCCACTGACAGTCTGCTAAAGGACGACTAAAGGCACCCAGAACATTTCATCTTAATGCAATGGTCTGGAAGCAGTGACCCTGTGGTTTTAACCTTGCAATCCAAAATATTGCAGCTTTGTAGATACTGCAATGTTTACATTGCAAGGTTAACACACTTCTAATACATGTGATCAAATGACTCTCCAAAAGAGCATTAGATTGGGCACAGTGTGGCATTTTGCTGTGCATGTGCACTAGCCTCCCAAACTTCCTTATGAAAAACCTTTCAAACTCTCATTGGGGGGCAGGGAATGACATCCAAATGGATATATTAAGACTAATGCTATATTGTTCCTTTAATAATTTTTTAACAATTTTTGATCAGTTGTTGACTTAGTTTTCATATTACTATCAGCTACTCATTAAACTGCTTGGGAATTGCAGAAAATATAATCCAGCTACTACCAAATGTTAGCCATTATTTCTATCTTTTTTTTGGTTGAGCTATAATATTCAGCTAATCATTAGGCTGCCAGAGCGTCATGTAAAGCTCAGTCCACTGCAAAGAACTTAAATCAACTATGTAAATCTAGATTAATTAAATCTGTGGCAGACCACTATTACGCTGCCAGAGAATTATGAGGAAAATCATAATGTTTACCATGCCAAGGGTAAGCCTACAGGAACTGGTTATGATATATACATACACCACACCTCCATCAAATAGTGTCAGCTGTAGGATTATATGCTTAACTTAAATATACAGTTTCTCTAGGAGCCCTTTCCAGATTGTACTTTTTAAACAGCAATTATTAATAGTGCAGATTGTATTTCCTTAATAATATACTATATGCTTAGTTATTTGTAGATTTTCAGCTCTATCCCTATTGTGTATGTTATATACGGAAAGAATCTGTTATGAACTTGATTTTCCCTGATACACAACTATCCATCAGGCTGGTAGGTTGAGCATCATCGGAAAAACGGCTGAGGTCAGTGAGAGTGTGAATGAACCAGGGCTAATTTGCCCAGCAATTTAACACAAGTTGGACATGATAAGGTAGAAATTACTGAGTACAGTGAAAGTATGCCTGGCACACAAGGGATTATGGGAGATGGAATCACAGAGGAGGCCATCATATTTTGTCCTTACCCCTTCAATGGACATCTCACCCTATCCAACATTTATTGGCGGGGGGAGGGAATGTACAGTGACCAGGTGAAATTTTCTCTTTAAAGCTCTGGTAATCACTTCAATAAAACGTACCTGTATTTTTAGGACCATCAGCATACACTGGTGCAGGTGGGGGACCACCTTGCCAGCCATATTGAGGGTATCCTTGAGGGTATCCCTGATAGCCTGGTTGTCCTGGCTGGTATCCTACAGGTGGTGGTGGTGGATAACCAGGATACTGATTTGGAGCTGGTCCGCCTGGCTGTTGGCCATATGGTGGGTAAGGAGCAGGTGGGTTTGTATTTGCATATGGTGGTGGGTTTTCGTAATTCATGTTAAGTTAAGTATTCTACTGCAAAAAAAACAAACAATATAGTTATTAAACACTGCTTGACATATACTATATCTGGCTCATTCTGCTTGGCAAAATTTTTTTATTTCTTAAAGTGTTCGTTACATATCAAAATCAGGGATGGTGGGGGGTAGGAAGAGAGGGGAGGAGAAGGGGGGAGTGAGACACAAAAATAGGTGCACCTATAGAAATGTATACTACACATATTTTTAAAACATTAGCAGTAAAATTTTAGAACCTGTGATTGTGCATGCTTGATCCCAAACGTAGAGTAACACATACATGTAACCACCATAAGTTTAAAGTGCACAGAGTGTCATATGGAGCACAAAATGTGTAAAAACAACACTCAGTAAAAATTAGCAATACTTCCCCTTTAAATTCTAAGACTTTTCCATATTGTTAAAAGGTGATATT